CCGCCCCTGCCCCAAACCCCCCCTCGGCGGCCGGGGCGAGAGCCGGGGCAGGCGGCTTCCCCGGTGCCCTGGCTCATTACCCGGTGAACCTGCTGGGAAAGTAGGTCCGTGCCCCATCGCGCTGCCGCGATCGATGCCGCAGGATGGGCACCTCCGGTAATTAGCAGCAGCCCCGCAGCCCTCCCTCCTCTCCCCAGCCCCAGCCAGGGGATGCTCTGATGCTCTGCCACCACCGTCCTCTCCCCTCCAGCTCAGCATCCCCGCAGTGCACCCAGAGCAGGGGGGGGGAGGAGGATGGGTCCAGGCTGCACGGGGACACGCAGGGACTTACGGTGCCATCCCACCTCCCCATCGCTGCCCCGAAACCCGGCTCCACTCCCTCGTCCCCTGCGGCAACCTCCGACCCCAGGACCCGGCGCTGCTCCCGGCTGCACCCGCCCTCCAGGAGCCACCGCGCTTCCCCACAGCAATTAGCCGCCGTTCTATTTTGGGAAGGTGGCCGTGGGGTAGGGGTGGGCGGAGGAGGAATAAATAAGTAAATAAAAGGAACAATCACCCCTTTACATCTGCTGTTGGTTTTGCTTTTAAACAGGCTCCCGCGCTGCAGCGCCCCAGGGTCCCCCAGCATCCCAGCATTTCAGCTATCACCGCCGGCAAATCCCATCCCCATCCATGCGTCCCGCGGGTAAACCCAAACGGGCTGGGGCTGCGCGAGGCCGGGGCGGTTTGCAGCATGAGGCTGGCACGGCCCCGGCATGATGTTCCAGGCCGCAGCGGCACCGGCAGCACCGGGCAGGGGCCACGTGGGCAATAAGGAAAATTTAAATTATGCAACTCCGGCCCCGTGCCGGGCTGTGATGCTGGAGGTGGGAGCCCGTTTCTTAATTGATTAGCAGAGATTTCCTGGAAACTTTGGGCCAGAACAGGGCTCAGCTGCTCACCCCCTGCCCCAGGGCGACCCTCAGCCACCTTCGCTGGTGGCCACGTGGCCGGTGGCTTCGTAGCCGCCCCGATCCCTGGCAACATGCTGGTTTTTCCCTGTCCCATGGTGCAGTGCACGTCCCCGGCTTGGAAATCGTAGCAAGCAGTTCACCCACAAGCAGCAGCGGGCGATGAGGCTCCCCCACGGCCACCCGGCTCCTGCCCCGGCTGTGCTGGTTCACCAGCTCCTGTGCCGCATGGCACCGCTCCAAGGCCAGCCCCGCCGGCGCGGGACACAGCCCTTTGCACTTTGGCTGGCGCAGGAGGGTGGCAAAGGTGCGGCGGCGGGGAAGGGGACCTGCCGCCAGCCCGGGGTGGGGAGAAACCAGGCTGGGGTGGGAGATCCCTGGACCCGCAGCTAAATCGAGGTGGAATTATCTCCATGGGGCTAAATAGAGGCAGTGAGAGCGGCTCTGCTCACCACATCCAATAAACCAGGCACGATTTAGACATTAGCAGCTCTCCAAATAGCCGCTGCCGAGTTCAAAGTTAAACGCGATGGGGAGGAGGGACGGGCAGGACGGGCAGGGGATGCTGCCAGCATGGCTGGGCTGTGGGGTTAACCCGTTGGTCCCTGTCCCCAGGGGTGGCAGCCTCTCCCCATCACTGCGCTTTCCCTCTCCAGGTGCTGCCGCTCCCCAGGGTTATCAGGGTCGAGGATCCCAAATCCTGGCTGGATCCCTTGGGACCCCACGCTGCCGGGGGCCACCTTTCTCCTCCAACCTTATTTTTGGGAGGCAAAGGGCACAGACATCCATCCCCATCCCCATTGAAGGGCACAGACATCCATCCCCATCCCCATCCCGCAGTACTCGGGTCAGGGCACAGCCGTCGTGTGGGAGGGCCGATGGGTGCCGGCTGTCCTCGCCCGCGCCAGCATGAGCACGCTGCCTAAACGGGCAGGGAAGCTCCTCCTCCACTCTCTGATTTTTCCAATGACAGATCTAGGTCACTAGGACAAGTCGGAAAGGCTGCCGAGCCACCGCACGCTCCTTGCCACGCCGCTTGCAAAACAAGCGAGCAAGAGGGTTGGAAACCCTATAGGATTATACAAGGCAAAGCCTCTCGCCCGGCCCCGGCGCAGCCGCGGCGCGGGGAAGGACAGGAGCGAGGAGCTGCTGTGGCCCCCGGGAAAAGGGGCAGAGCGGAGGCGGTTTGGGGGAAGAAAACGGAGATTGAACCGATTCGGCATCGCCATGAGGCGCTCGGGCTTCGGCGAGAGATGGGAACCCTGCGCCGGGCGGGACTGCAGGAAAAACGCCCGACGGGGGAAAATGGTGTGATATCAGGGGGGTTTGG